AGCTGATCAAATTGACCAGAGCGCAGGGGCACATGTAGAAAATGCAGATTATTTCCAGCCAGGCAGGTACTCAACTGCTTCAATTTGCTTGCCTTTAAAATATCCAGGACATAAGTAGGTGTAATAGCACAAAGATCATACTACTACAATGATATCTTCGCCTCCCCCGTCCCCCAGCCCAATAACAGGCTAGATCTGCCTGAAACTTTAGACAAAACACAATAACCCCTATTTTTAGACAACGAATGGTTAACAGTACTGCTGTAGTTATCCTTCACCAAAAGCACTGTCTCATACATTTTGCTAAATTGTCTAAATCCTGGTGCAGTATTGATTTCTCCCTCTATGAGCTCGCGCCCATTCAATACGCTGCAAGAGCCTCTCGTCCTGGCTGACTTCCCTGCAAAGCGGGGCCCAGGTACGTTACTCCCGACAGTGGTCCTGCAGCTGGGAGCTGACTGCTAGCTCGTGGGAAACAAACCACTGGAGACAGAAAGGAAATTTTATGTTAAAGTGAGAAACATGACGGGGAAAGTTGCCTGTGAGGGTAAGTGGAAACGCGGGCTGCCACAAGCGTCGATGCTATGATCTTATCTAAGCAAACAAAGAAGCCCCACCACCTACCTGTACCTGTGTATAGGAACAGAAGCAAATCTGGAGGGATGGACGCCTAGTATATACACAGATACAGTGGCTGTTTGGGGGTAATGTCATGTTGGCTGCTTTTTGTTTCTGCATTCTCTGAATTTTTTACAATGTGCATAAATTAATTTTATAACAGGAAACAAATCAACCTCTTTTAGTAAGAAGGAGGGAGTAAAGCACAACAATTTTATGACCTAACCTAAGGAATATTACTTTTTGCTTTCAAAATAGGGAGATTTTCAAAGTCCCTCCAGAATTTCTTAAAAAGAGCTGCTTTCCTGTTAATTAAGCATTTAAAAGATAAAGCATTGAAATTTAGTAACAGGACAACACTCATAATACCCAGATTACAGAATCATTCAGAGTAATGAAAAGATTCACACAGATCTATCAAAAGAAAACGATCCATTCAGACATTATGTTCCAGAGGCTCTGTGCTCCTCAAGGTGCAGGAGCCTGCAGGACAGTACAGAGCAATCTCTTCCGAAATGTCTGGGTCACCCCCAGCCAGGCACACTAGAACTTCATAACTTAAAAAAAAAAGTTTATATTGATTTGAGAGAGAGAGGAAGGGAGAGGCAGAAACATAGATGAGAGAGAATCATTGATTGGCTGCCTCCTGCATACCCCCTACTGGGGACGGAGTCCGAAATCTGGGCATGTGCCCTGACCGGGAATCGAACCAGAGGTCGTCTGGTACATGGGACCATGCTCAACCAACTAAGCCACACCGGCCAGGGCAGAACTTCATAACTCTTAAAATAAAGCCACCTATTTATTTTTCTTACACCTGCCTTAGGGGTTTCCTAAAAGAAATATCACATTACTAAACTATTAATAAATGTGCATACATATAAAATATTTATCTGGGTTCGTCATCCTAGTCAACAGATATTTTTTTCTCTCATTATCTTGAGACTGGTTCAAGACAAGACAATCAAAGGACTGGCAGTTCAAAGACAAAGAATTCCTATATGGCACAGTATCATGCCTCTTAGGCTGGCTTAGTCACTTATTTCCTTTATTATAATGCCAAATGTTATTTAGATTTCAGTCATTTAGTAATGCTACACTGAACACATCAGGGCTTCTGCAAAATGTCCTACCTACTAGTCCCTTCATTTCATAATCACCACATATTGACATCCCTTTCCAACCAAATTACACTATATTTCAAAAAGAAACTGTGTTTTACCAGAGTTTAAAAGATTATGATGCAATGAACAGCAGTCTTCCAAAATGTTCCGTCGCGTTATTAAGAATTAGGAAATCTTGTTAAAATTCTTTCAGCTTTTAAGAAACATAAGCAGCTGTGGGATGTAGTGCCTGACATGAACTTTTAAAGAAATTCCCTTGGAGCAGTGATCGGCATTAGTGAAGATATTCAGTTAAAGGTAGCACCCTACCCTGCTTCTCAGTATTTGAAGTTAGTCTAATTGCCTTTTCAAGCCAAACGTTGAAAATAACCCACACTACAGACTTTTAAAGCAAAGTACGTTTAACATTCTCTAATGGCAGGAGAGACACTCTCCATCAAGGGAGAGAAACCCTTCTTAGGCCACTGTCGCTAATGAGCCGGGTTGTTGAGGAATGCACTTAGAAGGCAGAGTGTTCGATTTTCCTAGTTAGCTTGGCTCAGGGAAGGCTGGGAAGGCAGGGGAAAGAAGCTCAACTAAATTTTCAATCACACTTCAATGTTAAATGACAGCGCAACTTTAAAGGGGGTATGTTATTCTCAAATCCAGAACGAAAAGATTCCCAGTGAGGACTGAGTTCTCACAGAGCGCCTAGGGTTGTTTTCTGCATACTGGTGCTTCAGAGAAGGCCTGGGGTTTATCAGAGTCCTTATATTTGACCTTAAAGCAGTTTGGTTTTGACTCTAGCTTAGGATATCCTAGCAGAACTGGTTTACAGGTTATGGATGTTTCCCCTCCCGACCAAAGTTTCTTCCAAGTGACAAGTCACTCTTAACGTGTTTGTAGAGACATGCAGCTCAATGTGAATCAGCAGTGTAAACGGGCTGCTAAGAAGACCTAGTTCAACCTCAGGTGGCATTAACAGAGAAGTACAGCGGCCTAAACTGAGAAAGGCGACAGTTCCTCTGCTTTGTATCGTCAGAATACATCTCGAAGGCTGCTTCAGTTCTTACAACCATAATACTTCAAGGTCGCCAACAAACAAGGGTCACACAGCCAGGGGAGGGTGACTAGGGTGGCAAGAGTCTTAGGAACATGCCATTGATAATGGTGGTGGAATTAGGGCTGTTTGAACCAGAAAGGCAGGAAGGCAGGAGGGAGGGAGCATTTGGTGTGTCTGACTGACTTCAGGTACTTGAGAGGCTTTGATGGGGAGGAAGGAATAAATTGGAACCGTGGTCCCAGAGGGTAGACCTCGGCTCAGAGGGGTTTAGTTACAGCAAAGTAGATTCTGGCTCTGTATTAGGGATAATTTTCTATTATAGCTTCTCCTCAAAGGAGTGGGAAGTCTGTCTCGCACATTGTTGCTTAGCTTCCCATTAGGAACAAGTTCCAGCAGAGTCTGGAAGGTTATCTGTTGGTTTTGCTATAAAGGGATAGCTACGTAGGTTGGTTAGATTAAAGGATTGTTGAAAATCCAACTTAACCTGACAGTTTGTGATTCAGGGAAACAAAGTCCACATTTCTAAGGCCTTTGTTCATACGAAGGTTTGTAAACTTGAATTCTTACAAGCTGAGTGTTTGAATATGAGCAACCCAGGCTCCCCAATCCAAGTCCACATGAAAGAACAGAAAACTATGTGCATGTGCTGCTTCTCAATAAGCCTAGATATGAACATCCTAATGACTAAAAAAGCAGTTCCAATGGTCTTACTGACATATCTACTCAGTAAAGTCAGTGAACAATGTTATAAGAATATATAACAGCACTGCCCCCGCCAAACAAAATTTTCAGTTGTAAATGGTAAAGAGTAGTCTTAATCACTCCGTTGTCATGCGTGGAGCTCACTGTAGAAGGATGCTCACCTATGGTGCAGATGGTCCCTACAAGCGGCAGGTGACTTACAGGAGGAAATGCATTGATTCTAGATGGAATTAAATTATTTCCAAAAAGGGCAAATATGTTTTTCCCTTCTGTGTGAGCAAACACACTGGTGATTTCTCAGCAGGTCAAATTAAAGTATTTTTTTAGAGGTATCTAGAGTTATTTTAATGGTAATCTTTAGATAGATAGGGTTTTTTCCCCCATTTTTATTTCTATAAAATGCTTTTGTGTCGTGAATCTGTCTTAAAACAACATCTCAAGTAAAGTACAAGCATCTTTAGAGTGCAAAAATAATTTCTTAAGTAAGCAAATAAAACTTTGCACTTCAAATCAGGCCTTGATTCATTAAAAATCTTAAACTTCTCATGAGAAAAATTAACATTTAAACCAGTGCTGCTTGGCCAAGCACTCCACCACACAAGAATATGAAATATCTCCTCTAAAAAAGTACAAAAAGGACAAAACCACAAATGTGGAACTTCAATTAATTTAAAGCCCCAATCAGCAAAGAATAAATCCTTCGCAGATCTAATTACCAGCGCTCTCGGAAGACCCAGGCCGACCAGCCAATCTTCCCCGTGTTTGAACAGCTTGATGAACTAGGGGACTGATGGATATCAAGTCATTTTGTTTAATTTATAAATGGATTTTCCCCTAATACTTAAATTATCATCAGTACAACACAATGAAAATGGGAACATTCTGAATGCAAAGTCTATAAGAGTCCTGGAAGGAATCCCAATGAGGAATGTCACCTCTGTTCATTCCTCTATACAATTGATCTAATTAAATACTGAGGGTAGAAAGGCAGTTTAAAATGTAGCCATTTCTGTTTTCTTTTTAGCCTTAATTTATCTGTTCACATCTTTCAAGTACCTTCTGATGCTAACAAAAAAAAAAAAAAAAGAAAGAAATAGAGATTTCTGCAAGTCCCTAATACTTTTAATTCTCAGCAAGCTAATATTAAAAAAGTCTCTGCCATGGATTTTGCTGAATAATAAATAAATGCATTACATTTAGCCACAGTAACAATAAAAGGAAGAGGGCTTTCCAAATCTGAACCTTTTCCCTCCAGTAACTTGACAGATAAAATAAAGGAACTAGTGCCATCTATATCTATTGTTCAACTGAAATCAGATCTCTGGATTATGCTTATTAAAATGTCTCCTTATTTTCAAATCTCTTCCTTATTTAATTACTGCATGGGACAGAAAGCTGCATGGAATTGTTAAATACCATTAAACCTATTTATAGTCTCTTCACACTGGCAACTTGTGTGCAATCATTGCAAAGGTCCTGCCCACCAGCCCACACGTTGGGACTGCAATTCCCACCTGGCTCGGGGGTCTCTGACTGGGAGGAGGAAGATGCTGAGCTGGCTCCGTCCTCCGTGGTGCCCTGCGAGAGGAGGCCCCGCCCAGGCGGGAGCTTCATGCCCAGCTGCTCTGCCATCTCCACGTGGTCCCCGGGGTGGACATAGTCAAAGACGCTGCTGCCTGTCAGCTCCACCTACAGGGGGAAGAGAAAGAGCGGGAAAGAGGTGTCACAGGCTTTTCATTTTCATAGTCAGCGCCACTGTGATTCAGATTCTGAGCAGAACAGGAAATATATGCAGCCCCCAGAAACAATCCCGGTTCTACGTCTTTATCCTCAAGTGCCTAAGGATTCTTGAAATTGAAAGAGAAAGATTTTTTTCCACATGTATTCATTTAGCAATTGTTTAAGCCGTATTTTTTCCCCTCACACTCTGTTGTTTGCATAAAGCCCAAACATTCTGTGAAATGTGGATGAGTCTGCCTTGAGTTCAGCTGTTTCATCCACGCATCATCAAATGCTCCCATGCTTGGTGTCATCCGGGTGATTGACTGAATTCTACAGTTTTCTTGTTGAGAAGTTGAGACTTTGTATAGAAATAGCCCGAGAGAGCAGACGGGTATTTTCCTTAAAGCACAAAGATTTCCAAGATGTGTATTTATACATATCAGCTTATTTTTATGTAAATTTAAATGGAAGAAGTGCTGCTTACAAATATATGCAAAGGCATAATGTTTTCATTAAATATTACTCATTAGCTCTGTAATCATGTGGACACTTTTCCATGCACAAGAGGTCAGCTGGGGGCTGAAGGAGACATTTTGTTTTTCTGCTGGTATCAGCTTGTTCTGCCTTCAATCTAATAAAATTCATGGTGCAAATCTCCTTGAGGGCTTTAAATGTTTTATTTTGTATACTCTGTATAAGGCCGACTCTAAAGATAGAGAATGAATGTGAGATATCAGAGGGGGTCAGCCCGAAAGGGAGAAACTGCCTATTTCAGTGCTGCCCGCATGGCCCACGCCCGAGTCCTGTGCTGTGTAAGGGGCAGAAGTTGCTGGTAGGGACCAGCCTTCCCTCTGTACTCTTCTGATGCTATTACTCTTCCTTCCTTCCAAGAATAGCAATAATGCTCCTAAAATAGTGTCGTGGGGTTATAGGTGCTATGACAGGGAGAGATGGATCAGCAACAGAACAAGATAAAGCTCTTTCCCGGGTCACTAATGGGTTTCCCAGTCCTCTGGAGTTTCGTGGTCTCAGGCCAGCTAGGATGTGCCACAGAAACTGCCAGTTCGGGCTGTCAGTTTCTTGGTGGATATTTACCTGAAACCCCTTCCTGCCTCAGCGCCTCCCTGTGCAATTTGCCTCCAAATTCCACCTGAGTGCCCGCACTCTTTCCTGCCAAGAAGGGAGGCTGTCAGAGCGCCTAATCCCAGAGCAATTACTACCCCCAGAACTCAAGTCCCAATAAAATGATCACATCTACTCCCAGACCCCATTTGATTAAGCTCTTAACAGGCTACACATCTTCAACATCTATCAATTAACAGAGGTACAGCCAGAAAAATGGGAGGCTAAATTCAGTTTGGTTAATAGCTATTCCTGAAAAAGGCTCGCATAACTTTTACCGAAAATGAGGTACTTTCTCTCTGCTATTAAATTACACTTTCGTACTGTATTACCCTACTACCGACTCTATCATTTTACAATAACTATTTCCTCCATTTGATATTGTTACTGAGCGTAAATCAGAATTCATAAGTGATCAGTTCCTACCCTCTGGGAGGGAGGGATTACATGGAAATAATCCCTTTAATGTGCGCCTTGCCTCTAAGCATTTCACACAGCAGTAAATGGGTAAGCTGACTTTGAGCAATTAGGAAATTAAATGAAACTAATAAAATGTGTGTTTTAATATTTCTTGATGGTTATTTTGTTTGGGGATTAGTGACTATGAGGAAGTCACTCTCATTTTGCATGGAGTCCAAGTGCACCACTTTAATAAATATTTCTGTCACTTTCCTCAAACTCCAAGCCTTTCTTTAATACCAAAATGTAGCTTTTGGCACAGACCACAGATTGTGATAAGATGACAATACAGGTGGGAGATTCAGTAGATTTTTAGGGGTCCTGGTTACTGAATATTCATGTAAGCCGGTCTCACAGAGATGGAGAGGAGAAGGTCGCCGGCTCCATAGCCTGGCTTGCTTGTATGTGCAGGCATTTCCTTTCTACGAAATAATGTCCTGAGAACAGCACATCTAGAATGAGACTGAGTCACAATGTGCCATATCACACTATGACCCAGTGAGGAATTTTTCCTCCTATGATCTCATAGGATCCTGAGGTCATACTGGATGGAAAGGTTGGCACTGAGAATTTGACCCTATCACAGTCTTTATGTATGTATTGTAGTCTAGGTCACATGGTGTAGGGAAAAGCACAACATACTTGGAGTTATAACCTGATTTGGAAATCAAAATCTTTTCCTCCTCTGCTGTGTGACCTTGGACAACTCATTTAACCTCTCTGGGCTTCAATTCTCTACTTTGAAAGGGGGCAGTACTGCTGCTTTGCAGGACTCTTGGTGGGACTCTACGTGGATGGTACCCCCTGGAGTGCAAGGCAGTGCCCTGAGAGCTGGGATGAAAACAAAACTTGCTTTTCCTGCCTCAAAGCCTAATTTTAAAATTCCAATGAAACCATGCACAGGAAATCACTTTGTGAGAAATAAGTAGTACAAGAATGCCTGCTGTTGCTGCTGCTGTTTGGTGGATAGGAATGGATGGCACATAGACATGCATATTCCTGTGTAACTTTGATGAGTTCTTAGGGTTTGTGTGGTCACTTTGGGACATCACTTTAGTCAGTAGGGGTGCAGCAGAGGGGATGCATGCTTAGAGCCTCAACTACGACAATAACAGCATTAGCAGCTACCTACCAGTATGTACAAGTACTTTTCACACTATCCTTTGATCATCATAATGATCTGTTAAACTGGTACGATCATCCTGATTTTACATCATCATCATCATCATCATCATCATTATCAACACATCCCAGCTAGAAGCCACCTTCCAAACCATCCATTAATATTCCCTATTTCATAGGTGGAACTTCATTGTTCTAAGAAGTTATAGGCTTGTTCAAGTTTACCAAAGTGTTTAATGGTAGAAGCAGGACTGTAAGCATACTGGCTATCAGTTTGCTACTTTTCTCATTAAACCCATATCTGGTTAGTTTTTCCAATTTAGTACACCTGTTTTAGTGCCTTCTTTAGGCCCAAGAGTCCAATGGCAAAGCATCCTTAGCCCAAGGGATTACCAGGCTGCCTGCACTCAGCTTCCTCTTTCCATGGTGCTCAATGTTATTTCCTGAATAAAGGTGAAGGTAAGGATTTGAGGAGCTCACTTCCAGTCAAGATAGTGGCATAGGTAAATGCTGGGTTCACCTCCTTCCATGACCACATCAAAAGTACAACTAAATTATAGAAAAACCATCATTCAGAGCTACCTGAAGACTATCTAAAGAGAAATCCTATAACTAAGGATATAAAGAAGCGACATCAAGACTGGTAGGAGGGGTAGAGATGTGGAACGGGTTGGCCCCACACCCACAGTGTGGTGATTAAGAATTGAAAGGGGTATCTTGGCTATGGAGGTACGCTCCTAAGGAGGGTACCCTCCCAGCCCCACACTGGGCTCCCCAGCCCAGGACTCCAGTGCTGGGAAGAAGAGTCCCCCTAACGGCTGGCTGTAAAAACCAGTGGGGATTACATACGAGGGAGGTGGAGGGCTGCTGGAGACTTAGGTGCTCCTCTTAAAGGTCCTGAGCACAGACTCATTTGCTCACAAACTCACTTACTCTGGGCTGCAGTTCAGGAGCACCAGCTCAAAAGGTGCTGGGAGCATACAAGGAGGAACTAAATTGACTAGCTCCAGGGCAAGGACAGGAGGGCAGGGGCAGCTTTCTTCATGGACAGAGGTGCTGGCAGTGCAATTGTTCCTTTGTTGAGCCCTTCTCCCACTCAGCTGGTACAGCACAGACAGGACCAAATCTGTGCTGTCCATTAAACTGGCTAACACTGTTTACCCGACCCTAGTGATTCCCTGAGGTCCTGCCACCCCCAGTTCTTGTGGCCAGCCCAAACCTATTCTGGTGGCTTTTCTACATATGCAACCTGCCTAGGTTCATGCTGTGCACTTTCCCCAAATCTCTCAAAAGTCCACAAACATCAAGCGAACAGCAGATAGCTTTGGCATGCCCTGTGCCTCTTGCTAAGTGGCTCTAAACCCAGCACAAGTGGCAACTGGTTTCAACTTGCATTGTAACAGCCATCAGGTGGCCCTACACCTGGCATAAGTGGCTGCCAGTCTTGGCTTGGAATGGAGCTTCAACAAAGCAGCAATAAGCCTGCAAAAGTGGCAGCTCTTCTCAGCTCACATAGTGGTGCCCACCAAAGGGTATCAAGCTTGGCACAAGTGGCAGCCAGCCTTCGTTCACATCACAGCCTCTCTCAAGTGCCTCTAAGTCCAGCACAGTGGCCACCAACAGCAGATCACTTAGTAGTACCTACCAGGTGGCATCAGGCTGGACACAAATGGCAGGTGAACTCGGCCTGCACCAGAGCACTGCTCAACCAGCCTCACAAATGACACACCTGGAGGGTGAACTCGGCTGGGACCAGAGCCCTGCTAAAGTGACACCTGCAATGTGGAATCATTCCCCATTCTTCACATAACTTTGCTGTGGTCAGGTCTCACAGCCAGGCAGCCTGAAGGTCAGTCTTACCCACTGAGATGTCAACAGCAATTAAGTATCAACTACAACAGGAGGGCATGCACAACCTACAAAAGGGACACCTCTGGAATACCCAGCTCAGGTGATCAGGGAGACTATGTAACTAGGCACCACAGGACACATACCACATAAGACCACTCTGCCAAAACTGAGAGACATAGCAGATCCACCTAATACTTAGAAAAAAATACAGAGAGTCAGCCAAAATAGAGAGACAAAAAGCCATGTCCCAAATGAAAGAACAGAGAAAAACTCAAGAAAAAGAACGAAATGAAATGGAGACAAGCAATCTACCAGACACAGAGTTCAAAACACTGGTTAAAAGAATGTCCAATGAACTTAGGGGAAGAATAGATTAACTCAGTGAGAACTTCAACAAAGAGATAGAAAACATA